TATTGTCCATGCCAGTAGTATATTCTTTACCCTGCTTTTATGAAAAAGATAGAAATGACTTCCCAAAGCATTCAGACATGAGGGCCTTTTTAAGAAAGTAAGTCGTAGATCTGTTGTGGAGTTGAGAACTGTTTATTTCTAAGCCAAAATACAGTGGACACTCAGTGTTCTTATGAATCATTGGTTAAATTATATGCCCAGTAAAATTTGTTTAAGACGTTAGGAAAAACTCATTCTAGATTTTGGAAAGAGTGCCAGAGGGAAAAATTAAGATTTAATATTTGGGCATTTTGATGATTAAATACTTAGTATTCATGAAAATTCCCTTATTCTTGTGAAAGATTCATTTTTATTTATTTTTTTTAACTTGATATTTGGCTGACATGCCATCAAAGGACTTCACCCTTCCTTGGAAAGCCAGGTCTTTAGTAGGAATGTATTTCAAAAGGAACATCCACCATCGAATGCTCATCTACCCTGAGCATTGCCATGATAGGCAAGAGACAACATCACATTTTCTTTTGTTGGGTAAAAGTCATTCAACATGATTTTTATTGCCTACCTAATCATAGTCCTCTAAGTAGTGGTGCCATTATTCTGTTTCATTTCAGAATAATACTTTTTCTCTTCCCTGACTAGTAAAATTCACCCTTCATTAATTTAGTAAAAAATTATTTAAAAGCAAATAAAATGTAATGACTGTTTATTCAGTGCCATCCACTAGGCTGAGTGGTGGGAGTAAGGAAATGAATTAGGCTTGTTCCCGATTATTAGGGAGCTTTCGGTCTTTACAGTGTAAGGGGGGTGAAGGACAAGTAGACTTATCAATTATAAAGTGATTAGTGATATGTTTAGGGTTCCCCAGGAACATGAAGGAGAAACATCTAATTCAGAATGGGGAACTGAGAAAGGCTGGATCTTGAAAGACGATTTGTAGTTAGCCGGAAGTGTGAAGAGAGAAGGTGGGAACTGTTATTAATGTTTTATTTCTGAAGATAGTAGTGAGTTCTTGGAAATTCATTGTATTATTTGTTTCACTGTGTATCAGAAGACTTTAATAATAAGCATTTAATCATTAAGACTTAGAGGTGATTTCTGGGTATTGATAACAAAATACTATGAAAGTAAGGATTTTCTATTGTATAGAAACTAGAGGCAGGGGTGCTATAAATGAGAAATAATAATAGATGAGTGAAAGTAAGTTTATATATTACTTGCCTTTTCAGGATAAGTTTCATTTGGGGGAAACATTTTTACTATTTTTGAAATTAAGACATAAAATAACTTAGATTTATATGCTTTCTATTTCTCCTTTTTAGATTCAAAATATAATCATTCTTTTAAAATGTTCTGCTTTTAATCTTTTGCTATGTTGTATCCTGCTGTGTACAACTAGGCATTTAATGCATTTTTCATTTTGATGAAATCATTTACATTCTGGCCCACTAATTTTTTTAGGCTCATGCTTTTTGTAGGGAGCTTTAGATATCTCATACAATTTTTAAATTATTTTGGAAGCTTTGTATTCTTGTCTAGTTTTAGTTATATATTACATTATTAGGATGAAAATTAGGAAAGAATACATGTAAAAAACAATTTTTTAAAGAGGAAATTTGATTTTACTGTTCTATGATAAATGCTTAAGAAAATAGTAATGTATTTTGTTTTCTCTTTTAGCCTTTCTAAGAAAAGTCTACAGCATTCTTTCTCTGCAAGTTCTCTTAACTACAGTGACTTCAACAGTTTTTTTATACTTTGAGTCTATACGGACATTTGTACATGAGAGGTAATGTAATGAGATGATAATGAATCATTTTCAGACATTGCATATGATCAAAAAGGCATATTATAAACAAAATCCACTTTTTTTTGTATTAACTTTTGAGGTTAAAATGTAAAATGGTTCATTAACTCTTATAAGCCTGATTAGTTTTTTTTTGATGAAGAAAAATATTCCACAACATGGTATTTACCTCTGAACTTTTTAGCTTCAGTTTCTTAGGGTTAAACCCTCATCCCCTGGAATAGTATTAAGAATTTTTTCTGCATGCCATTTTAAAAAATCTTAATTTTAAAAAACTTTATTAGACTATATTCCCTGTGCTCAAAGCCTGAGACAGTATTTGAAAAATAAATGTGCATTCATTTTGCTTTTGGCTCAAGACTAGGATAATTTCACCAAGAAGTTTTCAAAAGAGCTCCGCATGATTCATCTCTAATCTTTAATCAGGGATGAATCATAATTATTTCCATGATACAGTTTCGTTATATTAAAGGAAAGGAGAACTAATGAATATTTTCATAGAAGTAGAGAATTTCTGTCGTCCCTTCTTCCCACCAAAGGGGAATCTTGAACTATTAGTTTACTATTTGAGGTATAATTCTTAAATTTAAATTACAGCCATATGGCAAATACCCTAAAAAAGTAGTTATTATTTAATTTCTTTATTGTATAATATTAGTGTACTAATTGCAAACATTATTCAAATATTATAGAAGTTTATACGATAAAAAGGAAAAGTTTCCCTCATTCATTTTGGGCTCTTTTCTTTGTCCTGAGGCTCCTTTCTACCTTGTACTCCTCAGATTTTCCAGATATAAAATAATTTGATAGATTGGTATGGATCATTCCAGATTTTTTTTACCTGTACTTTCATAAACATATACAATAGATAAATTTTATTAAATTGGATAATACTGCTCATGCTATTTTTTTTAACTTGAAACACTTAATATTATGTCTTTCAGTCCTGCCTTAATTTTGCTGTTTGCCCTCGGATCTCTGGGTTTGATTTTTGCATTGACTTTAAACAGACATAAGTATCCCCTTAACCTGTACCTACTTTTTGGATTTGTAAGTACTTTGACTTTCTCTATTCCCTTAACAATTATTCCTGAGTTTTAAATAAATGCATTTATAATACATATATAACAATGGCAGAACAAAATTAATGAGTTTTTTTAGAGTACTTTAGGAAATTACTTGTAATTTTATAGTCTTTCAAAACCTTTAACAGTTTATTAGTTTCAAAAGTTTTTCTATTAATATTACTATGTAGTGGAAAAAATGCTGAATTGGAATCAGATGACCTGGCTTTGCTGCTATCTGATTATGTGACACTTGGCAAGGCATTTAGCCTTTCTGTGCCTAACTTTTTTCATATGTAAAATGAGAATATTAAAGTAGATAAATCCCTGTGATACCTTCTACCTCTAATATTCTGTTATTTTCTTGGGAAAAAATTATGTTGTGGTTTTAATTTAATAAAATTTAAGTTCTTTATTATTAACTCTTCTGTGTTATTATCTTACCACTCTGGTCTTTTAAGGAACCATTTTGCTCAAATGATGTGCTTTAGTAACTTCTTTCAAAATTATAGTTGGGAGAACCCAACTTTAAGTCATGTGTGTTGAGATATTTGTGAAAATTAAAACCCAAACTACCACTTATGAAAATTCAGTTTAGAATATGACCAGAATAAGGGGATAAGCCTCAAGTTATGTGTTTAAAAAATTATTTTGCCTCTTCTCATCCAGTATGACTAGATTCTAACCTTAAAAATTTACTTCAAAGCATTCCAAACTAATACTAAGAATACTTGGGTGGGCGCAGTGGCTCATGCCTGTAATCCCAGCACTCTGAAAGGCTGAGGTGGGCAGATTGCTGGAGTGCAGGAGTCTTTGAGACCAGCCTGGACAATGTAGTGAGACCCCATGTCTACAAAAAAATACAAAAATTAGCTGGGCATGATGGTGTACACCTGTAGTCCCAGCTACTCAGGAGGCTGAGGTGGGAGGATCACTTGAACAGGGTGGGGGAGGTGGAGGCTGCAGTGAGCTGAGATCATGTGACTGGACTCCAGCCTGGGTGACAGAGTGAGACCCCATCTCAAACAAAGAAAGAATACTTGTAGTCAAATAGGAGTGGGAAAAGCTATTGATTAGATTAAAATGCTTTAAACTAAAAACGTTTGTGAATTCTGGTGAGTTTGTGTTAAAATGATAAAGAAAAGCTGATGACTTTGAAAGTTTCAGTAATAGGAAGGATTATTCTTTTAAATCTTAAGCTCTTTTGTTTGCAAGATTATCAATCCTAACTCAAGTTATCGCAAGTAACAAGGAGTTTAAGGATGTAAGAACTTGAGAACCCACCAACCCAAATCCTCTTCAAGAAGATTAACTGGAGAACTGGAGGAAAGTTCCAGAAATGATGATATCATAGGAAATTCAGTGACAAAAGTTTGTGTTCTCCTCTCCCTTGTTTTATTACATCTCTTCTCTACCTCAGTTGTCCTTATACATTGTTTTCCCTTTTTCTGTCTTTAATTTTTATATGACCCATTGTTTGCCCCCATAGAGTCATTTAACTTTAGCTCCCACTGCCATTGCTTTAATCTCTCAGTTCATATTCCTGGGTCAGAAAGAATCTGGTCCAGGCGTGGTGGCTCACGCCTGTGTGATCCCCACACTTTGGGAGGCCGGGGCAGGTGTATTGCTTGAGTCCAGTAGTTCGAGACCAGCCTGGGCAACATAGTGAGATCTTGTCTCTGCAAAAAGTAGAAAAATAAGCCAGATGTTATGGCACATGCTTGTAGTCCCACTACTCGGGAGGCTGAGGCAGGAGGATCACTTAAACCAGGAGGTGGAGGTTGCAGTGTGCTGAGATTACGCCACTGCCCTCCATCCTCAGTGACAGAGTGAGACCCTGTCTTAAAAAGAAAGAAGGGGGGCAGGAGGGAGGGAGGAAGAAAGGAAAAGGAAGAAAGAGAGAAAGAATCTGATTGGTACACTTGGTTGTTGGCACAGGTCACACTGTAGGCTGTTAGTCAGTATATGGGTTGCCAGGCCTTGGGTCAGAGCCAACTCCTGGCCTAGTCAGCTATGTCTCAAGAGAGAGGAAGTATTAAAAAAAAAAGGCCATATAGAATTCCTCTTCACATCTACATGTAGCCTCCTCTCAGAAAGACTGATTTCTATGTGGGAAGAGGGTATGGGTCAACTTTTGCCCAGCAGGGAGAGGTCCCACTAGAAAAGCATCAACCAAATGCTTATAGGCAAGATAGTCACTGATTGTTAAATCTGTTCATCATGCCCATAGCTAAAAATAGTTTAACAAATAAGTGTGTAAAATACATTTCCTCAAATTACTCAGGGACCTTTAACATTAGGGTTTTTTTTGGTCCTGATCCACCGAGGTAAGAAAGGAGGTGAAGCTTATCTTTCCCTAGTAGGAGTGCGTGTGTGTGTATGCATGCACATAGATAGATAGATAGACAGGCAGACAGACAGACAGACAGATAGATAGTCCTTGACTTAGAATCATTCAACTTAAGATTTTTCAGTTTTATGATGGTGTCAAAGCAATATGCAACCACGAGGTTTCAGACTTTAAGCATTGGTGATTCTTTAACCAAAGACACTCTGAGCTACATTTTTGACTTAATGATATTTTCAACTTACAGTAGGGTGTATTGGCATGTAACCCCATTGTAACTTGAGGAGCGTGTGTGTATGTGTTTTAAAGGGGCATTATCATGTTTTCCTAGGTCTTATCTTTACTTCTATTTATACTATCCTGTTTCCTTCAGATACTTGAATGTGTATGGGATGATTTCTTTCCTAAAATCTTGTCACAAATAGTAAGAATATAGTATAATCATGTTGCCCCCCTCCCCAAAATTTCTTTTCTTTTTTTTTTTTTGAGACAAGGTCTCTCTCTGTCACCCAGGCTGGAGTGCAGTGACGCAAACTTGGCTCACTGCAACCTCAGCCTCCTGGAGTTAAGCGATCCTCCCACCTCCCAGCCTCCTAAGTAGCTGGGACTACAGGCACATGTCACCATCCTTGGCTAATTTTTTTTTGTATTTTTAGTAGAGACGGGGTTTTGCTGTGTCACCCAGGCTGGTCTCAAACTCCTGGACTCAAGCAATCCACCTGCCTTGGCCTCCCACAGTACTGGGATTACAGGTGTGAGCCAGCACGCCCAGCCCAGAAAAAAATTTCTATCATCTTTTGCTACCATTTTGCTGGCACTACTAAAAGCATTAAAATGTAACAGCAGTTCCATTACCTCCGCGTCTATGTACAATTTCTAATACCATTTTTGCTTGGGTGCTGATGGTTTCTTGATATCAGGTAGGGTGGATGCTTCTACCAGGAGTATGATTATATAGCCACTGCCTTTATTTCTAGCTTTGCCTTTGTAATATGGTCTATCAGATGGTTGATGAAATCTATCTAGAGTAAGGATATAAGACAAAATAAAAATACTGTAATTAAGGGAAAACAGAGGCTAGAGGACAAGGCTCGGAATCCCCAAGTCTTGTATTTAGGATATTAGTTCAGCTACTTCTGACGTGGCTTAAACAGTGACAGAATAACAATGGCTTAAACAGGATAGTTTATTTCTCTTCATGTAAAAATTTAAATGACAATTTAGTGACGGTGACAAGGGCCCATGCTTCTGCTACTGTCCAGGCATTCCTAGAGTGGTATAAGACAGATCACATGGTATAAGATAGATCACTCCTATAGCCACAAAGCATCCAGTTATTAATACAAGCACATGAGAAGAGGAAGGGGAGAGCAAGTCTTTCTTTGTTTTTAGAGCACAATCCAGAAGTTGTATACCTATCTTAGTCACATTAAATTGGCTAGAGTATCCTTATGTAGTCAGACCTAGCTGCAAAGGAGACTGAAAAAATGCAGTTTAATCTGAACAGCCATGTGTCCAGGTAAAAATTCTGTTATTAGGGAAGAAAGAATGAATATTGGGACACACTTTCAAGACTCCCACACCAAAGTACTATCTAAATATTTTATTCTTCCTATGTTTGTGTGAGGTATTGAGGTTTTATAAATGTGCACATAATTTGCAATTGTATTTTTATTTATATTACACAGTAAGAAAAATAGAATGTTCTATATTTACAGTCTTCCTTTTACAAATATGCAATTAGAGCTTAAAGAGTCATAGTATCACAATTAGAATGTAAATGTTCTCACTCAATATATTGAGGTCTCATTTTCATTATGGTGGGTTTACTAACTGTCCCGTATACTTCACAGGGCTGCTTTGAAGCTAAAATGAGATCATTCATATGGGATCACATTAAGCTGCTAGAAATTAGAAAGTGTACATGAGATAGTATACCTTTTACTGTCATTAATTTAAGTTTCTTTTCATTAGACGCTGTTGGAAGCTCTGACTGTGGCAGTTGTTGGTAAGCTGTAATTGCATTTCTATATGTTATAATAACTTTTTAGTGTAGATAAATCTTTCAGGTAAAAAGTTATTTGGGGCTAAAGTTTAACATGGAATGTCATATTTTAGAAGTACAGCATAGGATGAAGAATTCCTAAAGTATAAGCAAAAGTCAGATATTTATCCTTTACATATTTCAGCTGAGCTCAGAAGAAGTGGAAAAGAAAAATAAAAGGAATGGAGAGCAGTATTTCATTTGTTTACCCATTTAGAAAAATAAGACAACTATAGCTAATTTTTTCCTTAATTTAAAGGTATCCTCAAGTAACCGAGAACATGTGTTTTGAGCCACATACTTTGATCATATGTATGAGCTTAACTCCTTTAACTGGCCTGTGCCGAACTGTGCTTTAACATTATATCCTCATATTTTATCAAGTGGCACTACAAGAAACAGTGGTAATTTCTGCTCTGTGTTTCATGTTAAATATGTGTTTGAAGGCCGTGTCTGTTATAATTACTTGATGTACCCTATATAATGCCTCAAGGAAAAAATTTCAGTAAATTAAGAATAGAAATTCTGATTGTCTCAAAATGGTTAACCTTGAGTACCAAAAAGGTCAGAGTTAATTATTACTCTCCATAACAGCAAGTTGTTTATCCTTATAGTTAATGTATTTAACTCTTCCTATTTTGTCATTAGTTTTTTAACCTTTCTATGCCAGTTTTGTTTAAGCTATATGTTTCTGTAATCTCTTGTTAAAAGAATCTATATAAATAGTAATAAATAATAAATAGGATTGAGCTTCTTAACATAGAAAGTATTCAAATCCATCTCTCCCTTCTCCAGCCCCTACTATGTATAAAGAATGTAGGAGAGAGATTCATTTCAGGATTATTGGAACTGGGGGTAGAAAAACATAGATGAGGTAATCTGAGAACATTATTTTCCTCAGTAATTGCAATATCTTTTTAACCTAATCGTATACTTAAGTTACTGACAAGAAGCAAAATGGATTTCATGTCTTATCTTTTCCATGTTCGCCTTCCTAATCCTGTAACGGCATAAACAGAGAAATTCCAATCGTGTAGCATTTAAGGATGGAAAGAACATGAATAATTACTCTCTGAAAACTAAAAATTACTTAAATGGCTTTGGGTTCAAAGCAGTTAACCTCCAATAGGTTATAACTGCAATTTATTAAAATGTTAAGGAGCTTTATTACAATAGCCATAATCGACTGGATGGTTATTCTAAAATTACAGAAAGGAATTCGGCATATATTCAGTAAACCCCAAAATAACGTACTCCAAGATAATACACATTTGGATATGCAGTTAGTGGCTGGTTTCTGTCCTCTACAGGGTAAGTGAATGGTAGGCAACCCCAGCCAGCCCTAGTATTTTTCTTTCCCAGTTTCCTTGATTTGGGCTGATCAAGTATAACTAACCAGATGATTGCTGGAACTGCTGCTACTGTCCAGGAATTCCCGCTACTGTCCAGGAATTCCCAGCCAGGAAGGAGACCCAGAATCATCCCTATTGATATTTAAACTATAATGGACAATCACCACAGATGGTGGTAAACTGTGACTGAGACAGAGATGGGTGAGAATCACTCTGCCATACCCCTAAAACTCCAAACTGGCTACAGGCGTAATAGCTCTCCAGTAATTTCATTAACTTGGTAACAGTGTGACTTCCAATTTTGTGTGAATGAATTTTTTAGAGACTGTTAATTGCATTATGGGTGTGGTTTCACTGTACCTTGTAGTCAAGGATGGATAAGAAATCTTTTCTAATTGTTTTTATTGGCATAAAGTACAGGAGAAAACGAAGCATTTCTGTAAAATGCTAGAAAAAGCTGTTTTGTATTGAGCATTTTTATATGCATGTTAATCAGTGTTTTAATTTTACAGTTACTTTCTATGATGTATATATTATTCTGCAAGCTTTCATACTGACTACTACAGTATTTTTTGGTTTGACTGTGTATACTCTACAATCTAAGAGGGATTTCAGCAAATTTGGCGCTGGGTAAGTTGTATATATTCTTGGATATAATAGATAAATGTCTTTAATTATTATAGGTGGTTTTGAGGAATGTGCTACATTGTTATCTTTGGGTACTGTCTTTTAAAATGGAGGGTAATAAGAGATCATCTCTTTGAGTACTAGGGCCAGGCCCTACTCCCAGAACATACAAAGAAATGGAAAGTTGCTTTGACTTATTTGTTTCTCTCCTATAGTGAAAGGGAAGTGAATTTAAAAAAAAAATCAGCTTTCCAGAGAGTTTAAGCTTGTTTGCTTTATTAACATTATGGAATTTACTGAAATTATTTCGGTCTTTGTCTTAGCATAAATGTTACCACCATCCACGTCTTTGTGGAAAAAGCACTGTAATTAGTACAGGTATTGAAAGGGTCTGCATGAACTTTAAAACCTTTTGATCCATCTAGATTAACCTGTATCCTTCCTCAAACAAATATACGGAATGATCCTTTTTATATGAGGATTATGGTACTGCATTGCCCTCACCTGGTAGGAATGCATACTCTTTTCTAAGCTCACAGTGGCTTCCTGTTGGCACATAGTCACCCAACCATTTTCTTTTTCCTGTTACAACACTATTTACAAAAGTCTGCTCTTGCTAAACTTTCTTTCCTCCCCCACCCCTTTTATTCTGGTAATCCAGAACACCAGACGTCTCTATTGAGATAAAATATAGTTGGTCAGCCAACACTGACAATTGCGCAAGCTGCTTAAATAGTTTTATTGGAATGGAGTTTGATTTAGGGAGAGGTAACATTTTTTATTTTCTTTTCCTTCTTTGAAAGGATGTTTCATATGTATTTGTGTGGCATATATCATGAAAGATTTGTTCTACTTCCTCTTCCCAACCCAGTCTCTAACGGTTCCCTCCCTTTCATTCATTCCAGTATCATCTCTCTAAATCCTTTTCTGGTAAACCTGCCTTATATTTCAGCCTCTTCGTAATAAATTTACATTGATTGATAAAAATGATATTACAATGATCATATATAGATCTGAGACCAGATATTTCTGAAGTACATCTGTCTGTGTCTGCTGTTTCTGATAATTCTTATATTTTCTTTCTTTGTGTGTTCAGTTATTTTTGACTATGTAATTGTCCTTGAAAAATTGTTTGTTGAATTTCTTTGAGGCCTTGGTTGAAGGTGCATTTTTCCATACAGTATTTGGGTTTTCCCCTGGCATCTGGGAAAACTATTGGATTGGGTCCACTTGAAACTAAATTCATGGCTTACAATGTTTTCCCAACCACACATATGTTATTCAGTTAGACTAAAAATCAGCAAAGGGATAGCTTGTGGTGACAATTTCCCAGGGATGGTTCTTCTCTGCCCCCACCCCCCAATTTACTCCTGCTTAGTGCATTGATGGCTTTTCTTGTCCTTGGGCAAATTCAGCTACAGTACTATGATTACTTCTTTGGGTTTCCACTTTTACCTAGATTTTGACTTGATAATTCCATTCTACCTTGACAGTTATTTGATGTTTTTAAGAAGGTATTCTTTGTTTTCTCTTTTATGCATCATTTCAGTAGTTTTTCGGGGTGGGACAGGGGCAGTAATTAGTCTGAAATAGTTCTTGTTTGCTGTAATATTGGAAACAGAACCCTTTCAAAATTGCCTCCTACCTATATTACTACAACCAGCTTCTCTATTCTCTAGTCTTACCAGTTTCCAGCCCCTTTTCCACCAAGCAACTGGGTGGTAGGAAAATGGAAACTTGATCACAGTATACCTATTTAAAACTTTAACACTTCACTACTGCTCTTGGTATACAGCCCTGTTCTCCATTGAATCACATCTACTGCTATCAGTTACTGGATACTGCCATGTAATGACTCTCTAGCAAAATCCTAATAATAATTATACTTTGGTCAGTATACCATAGGTTCAGCTACTTAAGAGTAGCACTTTATTGCATTTTAAATAAAACTTAATGGCACTACTTACTGTGACGCCTCAAAGCCAAAGTGGTTGTGGAAGTTAAGTGCCAAAATGGCTATAAAGACTTAGGGAAAAGATTTTCCGAGAAAATATGTTCTTCAAAAAGTTTATAGGCTGTTCCTTCTGACTTGTTTATGGGACACTGTAGGAACTGAAGAAATGTGTTAAATGTATGGATGTATGGTAGTATCAGGCAATGGTGGCAGTGCTTCATAGATTGACTTAAAGCAGTGATGTTTTTACACCATCATTTTCCTGTGGTAATTCTGCCACAAAAGGAATTAAATCTCAGAACTATATGTGATAACTATGGCAACTGGTTATTGGTGTGCTAGACTTGCCTTGTGCCAGCTTGTAAGAGGCATCTTGCAAGTCAGTTGTTAAACTGCTGGAAGCTTAAAATAGGCCATGAAGGATGTAAGTACACCACAGAAATTAAGAAGCACTACAAATCAGGGCCCATTTTCTTTCTTAGAAAGTAAGTTTACTGGCACATCACTGTTTGTAAGTTATTTTTTATTCTGTGCTTCTTGTTGAGAGAGAAGAGGGTAGGATTCGTCAGTCTTCTAGATGGAGTTGTTAGAATAGCAACATCAGTACTATATCCATGGCATATCTTATCTATATTCTCAGAAAATTTGTTCTCTCTGATGTTTAAATATTTAATGAGATGTGAGTCAAAGTAGAGTGAAGTAACAACTTAGGCAGAATATTTGTAGGATATGACTTTCAAATCTTTACCTGTTACAGTATCTACAGAGAATGCTGTCATAAACTGACAAGTCTTAGGCTGAATTTCTTACCAGAAACTTAATAGAGCCTGTGACCCTAAATAACCCTTTTAGTGTGTGTACATTTAGGTCGCTGGGTGGGGCATGCTGCTTAACCAGGGAGCCTAAGTGTGTCAGATTTCAACTTGGATGTTGCAGTGGAGAAAATATATCTGTTTTAATATGCATTGTCAGTAGTGTCTGATCAGGCTTAAATGTAGGATCTTGTCCAGTTAGTGAATAAGAGTAAATTAATGTCCACAGACCTCTGGCAGCCCTATCCTAATGTCTTATTAGAAGCCTACAAGAATGGGAGAGGGTTTTTCATGGGTCTCTTGTGTTTCTGAATGTCTTGGGAATGATGTGCTGACTGCCCTTTGTTCCAGACAAGGGTTTTTTTGTTCCAATAGTGAACAGCCTAGGAAGATGGTGCTCGCTAGAGCAGAGGGCAAGCATGTTTACTTTTCATTATAAGAAAGACTTGCTTCCCTAAATTCAAGGTTCCTGTCTTGTAACACAACCCACTGTGTGTGTAGGTGTCATGTGGCCCTCTTAGTATCACCTGGGCCCTGTCATAAAAATGATGATACTACTGTTATTACTGTAAACTGTTCTTTATCTCAGACCTAGGAGCTTGATGCATCCATGAAACTGTGCCAGGCTAACTTGTTAGCCTGCAAGTAGGGTAATACCTTGGATGCTTCAAGTTCTTAATATCACCTTCCCCATGCCCCATGGTACAGGAGCTTTGGAGTTTCCCTAGGGTTTAAGAATGAAAAAGCAAATCCTAAGTCCCTTTCAGTCCTGAAGGATCTATATTGTGAGGTAGCATGATACCTCATTCTCACTTAGGTATGCCAGATGTATCTTGAGAAATTTTAGGGCCATTTCAAGAGAGACAGCTGAGGACTAGATTCTCATCATGCCTTCAGTTCACCAAATAGCATTACAATAAATAACTGTTATTGTGAGAGAACTTATTTTGTATGAGTTCAGTCCTTTTGCATTTATTATTATTATTTTTAATGGTATCTTGGTAAATGTTCTTTGTGCACTAGACAAGAATGTGTATTTTGCTGCTGCTGCTGTTGGATGACTTGATAAATGTCAATTAGGTAAAGTTGGTTAATAATGTTGTCTTCTATTTGCTTACTAATTTTCTGCCTACTTGTTTTATCAATTAATGAGAGGGGTATTGAAATTTCCAATGACAAGTAAGGATTGGTCTTTTTCTCACGTAAATTCTATAATTTTGCATCATATTATTTACATTGAGGATTGTTACGTACTGTTGGTGAACTGACCCCTTTATCATTATGAAGTGACCTTCTTTAGCTCTAGTAATATCATTGCCCTAAAGTCTACTTTGTTATTAATATAGCAACCCCAGCTTTCTTCTTAATTTGTGTTAGCATGTTAGCATCATATATCTTTTTCTATCCTGTTATTTTTAATGTATTTGTGTCTTTATATTTAAAAGGTTTTTTTTTAGAAGTCATAGTTGGATCTTGGTTTTTAAAAATCCAATCTGACCATCTCTGCTTTTAGTTAGTGTATTTAGTCCATTTACATTTATTGTGATTATTAAGGTGGTTGTGTTTATCTTGTTTATTGGCTTATTAGCTATAGTTCTTTTAATTAGAGGTTGCTCTAGGCTTTATAATATATGACTTTAAATTACTAGTCTATCCTCATAATATACCATTTCATGTATACTTGTATCTCCTTTTCCCTACCTTTGTGCCACTGTTGCCATAACTTTTAGTTCTACATGTTATAAACTCCATAATATATTATTTTTGCACTAAAAATTATATTATCTTTTAAAGGGATTTTAAAAATAGAAGTCCTTTTATGTTCACCAATGTATTTGCCATTTCTACTCTTCTTCATCTCTTCATGTATCTAAATTTTCACCTAATATCATTTGACTGAGGGACTTCTTTTTAAAATTTCTTAGCATCTGTTGGTCATCTTTTGTGTCTGAAAAAAACCTTTGTCTTTATTTTTGAAAGTTATTTTTGCTGGGTATAAGATTCTAGGTTTGGGTTTTTTTTTTTTTTTCTTCCTTTCAGTATTTTAAAGATGTCATTCCACTGTCCTCTGACTTATGTAGTTTCTGACAAGAAGTCTACCATCTTTCTTATATTTATTCCTCTGTATATGTTTCCCCCACACATACATAGCTACTTTTATCATTTTTTCTTTATCACTGGTTTGCAGTAATTTGATTACAATATTCCTTGGTGTGGTTCCCTCCCCCTCCACTTTTATTCTGTTTCTTGGATCTGACAATGTAAAGTTTTCATCAAATTTGGAAAAACAAAATTGTTTAAGAGATGGGGTCTTGCTGTTGCCTAGGCTGGACTTGAACTCCTGGGCTCAAGTGATCCCTCCACCTCCTGAGTAGCTGGGATTACAGGCACACACCACTGTGCCCAGCTCAAATCTGGGAAATTTTTGGCAGTTATTTCTTCAAACATGTATCTGTCTCCCCTTCCTTCTCCTTTGCTTGAGATTCCAGTTACATCTATGTTAGACTTCTTGATGTTGTCCCCTAATTCACTGTTTTCCTGTTTTTTGTTTTTTGTTTTTTTTTTCTTTTTCTCTCTGTGATTCATTTTGGTTAGTTTCTATTGCTGTTTTCAAATTTAGTAATCTTCTTCAGTGTCTAATCTGCTATGAATTCCAATCAGAGTATTTTTATTTCATATATTGTATTTTTAATCAGTTAAAGTTCAGTTCAATTTGTGTCTTTTGAAAAATATAGTATCTTCCATTTCTCTCCTCCTCATGATCATTCTTTCCTCGATCTCCTTGAACGAGCGAGTATATTTTTAATATCACTGTCTACTCATTCTATCATTGTGTCATTTCTGGATTTGTTTCTATTGATTGTTTCATCTCCGTGTTATGGGTCATATTTCCTTCACTCTTTTACATGCCTTTATAATTTTTTATTGGATGTTGGTCACTGTAAATTTTACATGGTTGGGTGCTGAATTTTGTTGTATTAACTTTAAATATATTTGGCTTTGTTTTCCTAGGACTAGGATGCAGTTAAGTTCCTTGGAAAGTAAACCTTTTGAGGCTCTGTTAGGGAGCTCCAGAACAGCTTTTAGCTTAGGGGCTCATTTGGCCCTAAGGGTACTGCCGAGACAGTACCCTTCAGCATACTACTCAGTGCATGTCTTAAGAGGTCTTTCTACTCCAGCTGGTGTGAATGCAAACTGTTCCCAGTCCTGTGTGAACTATGAGGATTGTTCTCCCTGCTTCTCTATGGTGGTTTTTTCTCCAGCCTTGGTTACCTCCTCACATGCATGTATTAATCAGAACGTAGCTACAAACTCTAGGGAAACCCTGTGCATACACCAGAGTGCTCACTTTCGGTGGATAGTTCTCTTCTTTCTGGTATTCTGCCCTGCAAATTCTAGCTACCTTGGATTCCCTGACCTCTGAATTCTTGTCTACTCAACTCAAGGAGACCACAAGTGTCTGTATGGGTTCTTATCCCTACACGGTGGCCTGGAAACCCTCTGTAGCTGGGGCAAATATAGACTTCACTTTCTTTGTATCCTTTATCTCAGGAATCCCTGTCCTGTGCTGTTTGCTGTCCAGTGTCCAAGAACTGTTGTTTCATATATTTTGTCTGGTTTTATTTAAGGAACGAGGATAAATTTGGCCTCTGTAATTCCCTGTGACCTGAAGCAGCTGATATGTCCCATATTTTATAACAAATGACTGACTTTTTAGATGTCCTTTCTCATATATTTTATACTCTCTATATATAACAATTGAATTGTAACTCATAAAATTATAGCAGTGTCAGATGTGTCCATCAATTAAGTTCTATAATACATAAGAATAAAATGGAAAGTACATTGTGAACTTCAATAGATAGACATGTTCACAGAATAAGTTATTAGTTGGTTTAAAAGTGCAATCATATTTTATTTGTTTATATATTTTCTAAAACGTTTTGTAGATCTCTGAATTAAAATACTTGTAATGATATTTCTGCTTTTATCTATATTTTATGTTCCAAAACTTCACAAATTATACTGTTAACTAGGTTTGTATACCATAAAGACAAATGTTGAATAAGTAGCTGTTCTTTCAATTTCTTTTAAAAAAAGATCCGAAATGGGCATTATATTCATTGTATGTTTACAAATTCTTACATTTTAGTTATTCTTTGGCAAAAAATCCAGATAGATACGTTTTTTTTTCAGAAAGTGTTGAATGGGTTTACAAAGTTTTTTTGTAAGGAACAATATTGTAAATTACTAAAATTGTATTTTTATAGGGTCTTTGCTCTTTTGTGGATATTGTGCCTGTCAGGATTCTTGAAGGTAAGTTATGTTATAATGGTTAACTTGAAATATAATTCTGGCTGTGTCAATATAAATAACCTCAAAAAGCTATAAGAGATACTCTTATGATAGGACACTTAGTTATAATTATCCAGAACATTTGTATAGAGAATGATTATAGAATTATCCCTTTAGAAAATCAGGGTCTTGTGTTGGTCCTTATTATTGACTGAAAGAAAGATGAATGAATAAATGAATTAAATTACATAGAAAGAGGCCCTTGCTTACAACTGCCAAGTTCCAGTGGCACATTTAATTGTGAAAAAAGAAATATATTTTAAAATAATTTATATTTGGAATGCTATTTTTCAAAGTGGGTAATTTAGTTTAATGGAATATATCCCCTCATTCATCCTTCCATCCAACAGAGGCAACTTTGGACCTGCCTTGCCTTTTTCTGCTTTTAACATTTTTATTCAAAGTTGTACACCTTTGTCAAATGTGTAATGTAGCAGTAAATCATTAGAGGAAGTAAGTTAAGTCCTGTTAATACTGTTCTCAAATATCAACATATTTCTTTAATCTCTTCCCTATAGTTATTTTTTTATAGTGAGACAATGGAGTTGGTCTTAGCTGCTGCAGGAGCCCTTCTTTTCTGTGGATTCATCATCTATGACACACACTCACTGATGCATAAACTGTCACCTGAAGAGTACGTATTAGCTGCCATCAGCCTCTACTTGGATATCATCAATCTATTCCTGCACCTGTTACGGTTTCTGGAAGCAGTTAATAAAAAGTAATTAAAAGTATCTCAGCTCAACTGAAGAACAACAACAACAAAAAAATTAATGAGAAAAAAAGGATTAAAAAAGTAATTGGAAGCAGTATATAGAAACTGTTTCATTAAGTAATAAAGTTTGAAACAATGTTTAAATACTGTTACAATCTTTATTTGTATCATATGTAATTTTGAGAGTTTTAAAATCTTACTGTTCTTTATGATACCTCATTTCTAAATCCTTGATTTAGGATCTCAGTTAAGAGCTATCAAAAATTCTATTAAAAATACTTTTCTGGGTGTGCACAGTGGCTCACGCCTTTAATCCCACCACTTTGTGAGACGAAGGCAGGTGGATCACGAGGTCAAGAGGTCGAGACCATCCTGGCCAACATGGTGAAACCCCATCTCTACTAAAAATACAAAAATTAGCTGGGTGTGGTGGCACGTGCCTGTAGTCCCAGCTACTCAAGACGCTGAGGCCAGAGAATCGCTTGAACCTCGGAGATGGAGATGGAGGTTGCACTGAGCCAAGATCACGCCACTGCACTCCAGCCTGGCGACAAAGTGAGACTCAGTCTCCAAAAAAAAAAAAAAAAAAAGTTTTTCTTCCTAAATTAGCCATGCATAGCTGTTTGTTTGCAATTCAAAAGTAATTTTATGAGTATATAATAGTATCAGTTTACCTTTGTCTAGTGATTTTATCTCAATTTTCCCTGAATTATTAAGTAATATTGATTTGTCTTTGATTCTAGAGTAGTAGAGTCTTTACCATTATAAACTGTAAATCTCTCTTTGCTTGGCAATTTTCATCTAATTTAAAAGGAAAAAAATATAAAAGATAAATTCCACAGAGAATTATTCAGTATTATATTAAAATTGTATTAAAATGTTAATGACTTTTTATTTTAAATTGTACTAAAATTAAAAGTCTGCCTGAAAGTCAGATATTATGACAAAATTTGACATTAATTGTTTTTTAAAGTATAGATTTCATTTGAAATTATACAATGCTAATGTGGTTAGAGGACACCAAAGTTACTGGGTCATCAGCCATTAAGTATATCTATTTCAAAATAAAAATACTTGGGAAATATTGTCTCATGGTTTCATTTGCGTTGGTCCACACAGTGTGTCAGGTCCGTGTACGAGTAACCAATGAAGTTTTGTCAAATTTCGTCACTGTACTATTTTGTTAGGCTGCCATAACAAAGTACTACAGCTTGGGTGGCTTCAACAAGAAATTTATTTTCCCACAGTTCTGGAGGCTAAAAGTCCAAGATCAAGGTGTTAGAAGGCTTGGTTTCCTTTGAGGCCTTTCTTTGATTTGTAGATGGCCATCTTCTCCCTGTCTTTAAATGGCCTTCCCTCTGTACTTGTCTGTGCCCAAATTTCTCCTTCTTAGGAGGATACCAGTCATACTGGATTAGGACCCACACTGAGGACCACATTTTTCCTTAATTATCTCTTTAAAAACCTATCTCCAAATACAGTCACATTCTGAAGTGCTGGGATTAGGATTTCTTCATGTGAATTTTGGGGGGACTACAACTCAGCCCTAAGTATTTCCCAGCTATTAAGGTTGAAATAAACTTGTAGTATCAATTTAACCTTGCATGATTTGTAGATGTAAATTTGACTTTATTATCATTAATTGTTGAATTATCAAGTGCATGATGCAGTGCAATCAAGTTTAACATAGCGTGGTGGGTAAAAGCATCTACATTAGAATCCTTGCAATCCAACCAGATGCTTAAGTGACACTTGGCAAATTATTTATCCTTCCTTAGGTCTTTTGCCTCATCTTCATAATGGGAATAATAATAATGGCTAGCTTATTGGGCTATTACAAGGATTAAATGAGATAGATATATAAACTAAACTAAGTGCTTAATGTCAGCTGATCATATTAATACTATTTTCAGTTCAAAGGTGGAATGGACTGATTTGTGACTAAAGATTCTGTATAAGCAAAAGTAGATGTGATATTTTAAAAATGTAAAACAATGCCATTATTTTCACTAAATTATTTTTATTTAGAAAATATAGTTTCCATAAAAATGTTAACATAATTTATCCTTTCTAAATGACTTAAATTTTCAAAAAAATTGTTTTAATTTCTGATATGATCAATATAATAAGCGTGTAAAGGAATCCCAAGACCAAGAAGTTTAAAATCCTTTGGTATAAAAATACTACATTGTATAAATGAACCATTGGTTTATTCCTGTGTTCTGTCAATGAATTTTATGTGGTATGTAAGTCTGTGTATATGTCCCACTGTGTATAGGTATGAGTTCTTCTAGGTAGGGAATATACCTAGACCATTTTAAAGCATTGCATTAAGTAAAGGTGAAAATACGCAGACTCCAGAAATATTAATAGTAAGAAAGTGGAATTAGGGCTGGGCATGGTGGCTCACACTTGTAATCCCAGCACTTTGGGAGACCGAGGCGGGCAGATCACCTGAGGTTGGGAGTTCAAGATCAGCCTGGCTAACATGGTGAAACCCCATCTCTACTTAATATACAAAATTAGCTGGGCCTAGTGGCGCACGCCTGTAATCCCAGCTACTCAGGAGGCTGAGCCAGAAGAATCGCTTGAACCCGGGAGGCAGAGGTTGCAGTGAGCCGAGATTGCACTACTGCACTCCAGCCTGGTGACAGAGTGAGACTCTGTCTCAAAAAAAAATAAAATAAAATAAAAAGAAATGAAGTGGAATTAGCAGGACTTGGACAGAGCAACAGGTAACTCAAGTGTGCAAGGGCCAAAGGAAGAACAGATAAGAGGAGAAAAATGAGGAAACAGCAGTATCTGAGAACTTTTGTATTTCTTGAATGTAATTTGGGAAAAGAGATGCAGTAGGCCGTATACACCTGCCTTGATTTCTTCTCAGACCTAGCTTCAGTCTACTTGATGCGTTTCTAGGGATTAGTGGTCAACAGCCAGCTGCAGGCCTTTTTTTTTTGGAGCAGCTAGGAACTTAGATACTTTTTCCTTTTTCCTTTCATCTTTCTAGAGCTTTGTCTTGAAATCCCCATCATCTAGGGAATGGGCAACATGGGGTTACTCTCTGAATCCCAGAAGTCTTCCTGTTCCTTACTAAGTGATTGTGCAGATCAGAGATTCCATGGGAGAGGCCTGACTGCAGGGGCCCCACTGACTGTTCTGCATCATGTAGCATGCCTTTTGGATGAGAAAATCAGTCTGCTTCCTGTAAGGTATTCAGGGCCACCCACTGTGCCTCTAGTTCTATATATAGGCTTCTTCTAGCTCTGTGATGAGCCATTGTAACGTTTAGTTGGACCCTTAAGCCTTATTTGTCCATTAAGGGATAAAGTTTCCTAAAAACAGTAGTTTCCTTCATCTTTGCAAATTCAGCATAGTGCCTATCGAGTGCATATTCAAAGGCATGAATGAAGGAATGAATTAGACTTTTAAATATACTAAGGCCACTTAACTCTTCTAGAATGGTTTTATATAACTGGTGAGGGGACATAAGTAAAAAGGAGTAAAAGGGTGTTTTACTTAGCTGTTTAAAGCACTTGTAATGCTAAATCATGGCATGGTATTTTAACAACATGACATTTTCATAATAGGTAAATTATTTTTCCTGGTGCCAAGTGCCTATTCAAAAGTCTTGTCCTGGTATGTTAAACAAGATACAGTAAATATGGACTATCAGAATGTGAGCTTTCTCTAAAATGCAATGTGCACATATATTTTTGGGTGAGGTAGCTAACTTCTCATTTGAAAGATGAGGTACAGTATATGGTTAACTTGTAAAACAGAAATTCACTTGCTTTATAAGAACGAAATCTCATTTAAAGAAACCAGGTTTCTTAGGCATGCTTCCTTTTTTTTGTATCAAATGTTCTAAGTTTTTTTCAGCCTCTTTAACCTTGCTATATTCTGAATTCAGTAATTTCCATACTATGCATGGTTTCACAAAGGACACAAAATTAAAGAAAAAAGGTACCCATAGATTGCCTCAGAACCCTTTTTTCTAGCAACCGACAGGAATTTACCAGGCCATCATCAAAGACATGTTTTTTGGGTATATGTCATAAATCTCTAGAAACATTGCTTACAAATAGTACTGTGCTGCTATACGTTTGAAACTATAATGTAAAAAGGGTACCATCTGTTGAACTCTTACAGTATCAATTAGGTTGTATTATGTTCACTTTAGGGACAAGGAAATTCAGGCCCTTATGACATTAGTTACTCACCCATATCGTTCACAAGTATTGGAAGCAAGAATACAACACAGACCTGTATAGTTCCAAAGCCTATGCCATTAGAAATAGTTGTAAAGTAAGTGTTCTTCGTGAGCTAAGACAATCGTCCTAGGTTTAGCATTCTGTCTTGATATGTAAGTGATCAGACAGGCAAACATTGGTAGAACTGAAATCCTTTGATCATTTTACCCTTTAAATTCTTCTCTGGGGTGGGAAAAGGTTGTTTTCTGTTTTTGGTAACAGCTTTGAGTATGACTGACATGCAATAAGTTGCACATATTTAAAGTGTGCAGTTTGATACGGTTTGACATATGTGTACATCTGTGAGGCCATCACCCGAGATGAGAAAATTCACAGGCTGCAAATAAAAATGATCTCAATACGGCCTCTGGAAGAACACCTGATCTAGGCTGAGTTGATCTAAGGAAATATATGCGTATCCTGTAAACGGTGAGGTCAGATCTAAAGGTCGGCTCGGAGCTCGCTATCTGACCAGCAGGGTCCCCTGGTCAGGTTCACTTCATGGGTTAGTTTCGGGGCTCCCCTGCCCACGTCCGGAAAGCGGACCTACCTGGAGCCTAACCTTGACTGGCACACGCTTCCGCATTCTCCAAATCCGACTTCTACATACACCTGTATGGGACGGACCGAGTTTCTAGGTCCGCGATCACACCAAAGAAGGAAGCTCGTCAGCGCCAGGATTCCAAAATCCCGCCTCTCAAGGCTTCCTGAGATATTTTGTCTCCCGGCATGCACTGCGTCCGGCCTGGGTGTCCTCTGCCCGGAAGACGGAAGTGCAAAGACTTCCGGTCGGCGTGATCCTGAGGCGTGTGTGTTGGTTTTTCAGGTGAGTTCGGTGCGTCACCGGTCCAGTGAGACAGGGGACTTGGGACTTGATTCCGCCACCCCTGGAGAATTTCGTTTCTTGACACTTCGTGGGCTATACTTGAGCTCCGGTCCGGCGATGCAGGCCTTGGTTGAGGGTGAAGGTTCCCCGTGCTCTTCTTGGTGGGGGCCCTCCGGCTTCCGAGTGCACTGGCTAAAGTGGAGCCCTCTCCCCTGTTGTTTGCTCCCGCTGAAGTTAACTTCGGCCCTCAAGGTTGTTTACCGCCCCCTTTTCTAGCCCCTCGCAAGGGTTGAGTTATGTAGACAAGGGAGCGGAATGAGTTGGTGATTGCCGGCGTTCAAAAAATGTTAGTCATTCGTTCAACAAGTATGCAAAATTCTGTGCACTGGGAAAAAGACCTTTCCCTCTACCTTCGTGGAGTCTGCAGTCTGGGGAGACGGTGGGGGGTGTGACAGAAAACAGTAGTTTCAGGTTGTAACACCTATTAAGCAGGGAAGGGAGCTTACGGAGGACAGAGGAGTCCTTTCTGAGGTATCGAATGAAGGAGCAAGCCTTGAGAAGAGCAGTTGCCAGACATAGGGACAGCAAACGTGAAGGCACTGACTTAGAGATAGTTTGGACTCTTTTCAGACGTAGTTGGAGCCTGCGGGGATGGGGATGGAGAATGAAATGAAATAGAGTTGAAGGAGGCAGGGGACAGATAACAAATAACCTTGTAGATCTTGAATATATATGAGGGAGGTCTTTAAAGAACTCGAAGAAAGGCAGTGAATGCTCTTTTAAAAGATCACACTGAGCATCTTGTGGAGGATTTAGGGCCCAACTGAGTGGAAAGAAAACAAGAGTAGGAATAGGTAAGTTTAGAGTCGTTAAGTTGGCTTGAGAGGATGGATAATGAAGATGAGGTGAAGTGTTAAAAAAATCGTTTTGTAGTTTGTAAGCTGTTGCGTAATGTAAGGTGATGACGCTCTTGCATTCTGGGGAAATTAAATTTCTGTATTTTGTAAAGAAATTCAAGGTGCTTTCAGAATTGGTTTGATTTGTAGTTTGCTTATTAGACTACAAGTTTGATATCTTAATTGTTATTTAGTGACTGTATGTACCATGTTGATCTTCATATAAGTTGCATGTTGTCATAAAAAGTGAATAGATTGAAGAGTTTTACTTTTCACTTGTTTTGTAAAGATACCTGTTGGCCTGGTTTTCTAAGGATTTGCCTTTTTTCTTTTTTATATTAAAGATTTGCTTTTGAATGTATATTTTTGTTAACTTCAGGTAAAACATGGCTAAAAGCTTACGGAGTAAGTGGAAAAGAAAGATGCGTGCTGAAAAGAGAAAAAAGAATGCCCCAAAAGAGCTCAGCAGGCTTAAAAGTATTCTCAAACTAGAAGGTGATGTTTTAATGAAAGATGTTCAAGAGATAGCAACTGTGGTGGTACCCAAACGCAAACATTGCCAAGAGAAAATGCAATGTGAGGTAAAAGATGAAAAAGGTGAGTGTGCTGCTTCTTTTTCTTTCTTTCTCTATTTTTTTTTTTTTTTTTTTTTGAGGCAGGGTCTCCTCCCTCTGTCACCTAGGCTAGAGTGCAGTGGTGTGATTATAGCTTCCTGCAGCCTTGAATTCCTGAGCTGAAGCAGATTCTTCCCACCTCAGCCTTCCAAAGCACTGGGTTACAGGCATGAGCCACAGTGCCCAGCCCCTCTGCTTCATTTAAAAAAAAAAAAAAAAATCTATCAAGTCCGTTCGTGTATATAGGTATGTTTTGGATTATTTAGAGTGGGTCTTTGGTGCTTATACAGTAGCCTCGATGTCTCAGGAATAAATAGTTCTGCAGGAGTAGACAAGTCTAGACACACTCTGGTTGGAAGGGTACACAGTTCACTCAGGGCCTAGGTAGCATAGGTCTTCATTTTATTCTTTGTAAGATCTAATTCCCATTCTATGAGTCCTATGCCCTTATACTATTTTCCTGAAAATCACTGGGTTTCAGTATTTCATTTTGACAGATTCTAGGAACCTTTGTGTCTTAATCATGAAGTGATTAAGACTTAATGCTGCTTTTTGCACATTTAATGCACCAATTTGGCAGCAAACTAAATTAAGCATTTGCAATACCCAGACTTTAAAATAGAAATACATTTATTTGATGTCTTATGCCCAAGGAAGAGAGCAGTATTCTCAATCTCGCAAACTTAGGGATTTTTTTTCCCTTTAAAAATCACTGTTTTTAACTTTTTCTTCTTCCCATTTCATCCTTCTCCCACTCCATATGAATAAAAATTACAAAAAGCATTTAACTTCAACTTCTGTGAGAAAAAGGGGCCAACCAACAGAAATATCCTCATCTTTCCACTACCCAAGTCTATAAGAATTCAGATGTATAGGCTGTTTTCCCTTTTTTATTAATGTTCTCTCCAAAGCCAGTTTCTCCACTTGTGTTCTGAATCCTCTCCCCCATTACATTCTCAGGGGTTGTACTCATGGCATCTGCCTTATCAGTCTCCTCCACTGGGTCATTGCCAACAGCATAGATGTGTTCTGGGATGTTCAATGTCAAAAGAAAGAAAGAAAAATTTCTCCCTTGACCTCAAGTTCTCTCAATCTGCTGCTTTATTTCAGCTGTCCTTGAAACTTTTTGAAACACTTGCCATAACTTGCTGTTTTCATTTCCTCACACACACGTCACCCCTCCCTATTGGTTCTTTTTGGTTGTTAAGACAAAATCCACATAACATAAAATTATGCATTTTAAAGTGTACAGTTCAGTGGTATTTAGTACATTCATGTGGTTGTGCAACCATCACCTCTAGTTCCAAAACACGTTCCTCACCCCAAGTTCCAAAACACGTTCCTCACCCCAAAATAAAACTTAACACCCATTAAGGAGTCTATCTCTCCTCCTCCTACCCCCAGCCTCTGGCAACCACTAATGTGCTCTTTTCGTGTGTGGATTTACCTGTTTTGAATATTTCTTACAAATGGAATCATATAATACCTTTGTGCCTGGCTTATTTCCCTTAGTGTGGTGCTTTTGAAGGTCACCCACATTGTAGCATATATCAGTACTTCCTTTCTTTTTAAGGCTAAATAATAGTCCATTGCATGTACCATGTTTCGTATCTGTTCAGCAGTTGCTGGACATTTAGATTTATTTCCCTTTATGGGTGTTGTGAATATGCTGCTGTGAACATTCAGGTGCACAAAGTTTTGTTTGATAAGTCGAATTGCTGGGTCAAATGGTAATTCTTTTTGATATTTTCCACATCAGCCACACTATATTACATTCCCACCTGCAGTGTTTGAGTATTTGAGTTTCTTCACATCCTCACTAATACTTGTTTTCCATTTTTGGATTATAGTCATCTTAGTGGGTATGAAATAGATTCTCATTGTGATTTTGATTTGAAGTTTCCTAATGACTAATGACGTTGAATGAACTGTTTTTTTTGTTGTTGTTGTGTTGTTTTGTTTTGTTTTGTTTTTTGAGATGGAGTCTCACTGTTGCCCAGGCTGGAGTGCAGTGGCATGATCTCAGCTCACCACAACCTCTGCCTCCCGGGTTCAAGCAATTCTCCTGCCTCAGACTCCCAAGTAGCTGGGATTATAGGCATGTGCCACCATGCCCAGCTGAATTTTGCATTTTTAGTAGAGATGGGATTTCACCGTATTGGCCAGGCTAGTCTTGAACTCCTGACCTCAAGTGATCCACCTGCCTCAGCCTCCCAAAGTGCTAGGATTACAGGTGTGAGCCACTGTGTCCGGCTGAACATTTTTTCATATGCTTATTGACCATTTGTGTATCTTTTTGAAGAAAGGTCTACTCAAGTCTTTTGCCTCGTTTTTCAGTTACGTTGTTTGTCTTTTTTTATCGGGTTGTTAAGAGTTCTTTATATGTTCTAGATACCAGATGCCCATCCACTCTTGATTCTTTTGGATTGATCCTGTTTTCTTTTCTCTCCTGTTCTCCTGTTTTCTGTTTCTTTTGTTATACCCTCTAATTTCCTTGACCTTGTATTCTGGTTCTTATTATTTGGTTTACTCTTATATTTTTGATTTCTAAAAGTTTTTCTTTTTTTTTTACTGTTCCTTTTTCTTTTTGTTTTTTTT